TGATTTAAAGCCTTCTTTTAGTCAGAGTGGGGCGTGTGGGGAAGGCATCACCCTGCAGCATTTTGGTTCGCTCTTACGATTGCTTTTCTTCTTTCTGTTTCTCTGCTATCCCACCTGCCTTTTGTAAATACCCAAACCATTTGAATTACTGAGCAGCGCCCTCTTTTATGGTGAAAATTAGAATGATTTATTTATGTCCTGACATATCCTTGGATCATCTCAAGGGCTAATAGGAATCCAGTCCTGGTTTTAACTTGAATTTCTGTTGTTTTACATGTATGTGTAATTTGAGTTATTTTGATTTTGTGTATGTTACTTTGCAAAAATTTGCATTAAGCCACTCTGAATCATGCACTTCCCCAGTTGTTTTGGTTTTTAGGGAGAATTAAAGCTGCTGGCTTTACTTTGCAAGCTGAAGTAAACAGAGCTTGTTCTGTAAACCACACGGAGGGTCTGGTCCTGAGCACCACTTTTACAGCTGTGCGTGGTGCACAAGCCCAGACCTTTCATAAGCAGCTCTGGGTGAACCTGGAAGCCGTCGTCAGAAAGCTGCGTCCTGTGGCTGGCCTGCCGATGCTGCAACACTGGCACTCACGGGCCATGGGGACAGGGCTGGGAGGCCGCTCTCTGCTGAGGATATTCTCAGCCTGCAGAGGCTCAGTCCCCTGGGTGTGCAGAGCAAAGATTCTGCCCCTGGGCCAGGGCCGCAGCCCGAGGAGCACTTGCATTTTCGATGCAAGGTTCTGGCCTGGGGTTGCGCTTCTTTGCCACTCACCCTGTAACACAGCTGTGACAGGGGCACAGGGCAGGTCGTCTCTACCCTCGTGGTCATCCACTTGGGAAAAACCTCCTAGAAGAGCTGTCAGAATGGGAAGAAGGGATTTCTCTCACTACCTCCCAAAGTCTGTCTGTTACCTTCTAACTGGATAATTACCCAGACTGAGTCACTCCCCATCACACTAAATCTCTCTTTCTACTCTGCTTCTTCTTCTTAAGGTAAGTGATTTATTCTCTGTGTCCATACAGTTCTTTCAGAAACTTACTGAGGGGCCTCAGCAGAAAGATATTCTTAGTACAACTGGCCTTTTTCCTGACATCCCCCATAGGCAAGCAGTGACTTTTTATTGCCAGCAAGCAGAAATTCATCAGTCCCCAGACGGGTGGGCAGCAACCTGCTTTGTGGGGTTTTTTGTTTTGTTTTTCGTTCGTTTGAGTTTGGTTTTGGTTTTGGTTTGATTATGGTGTTGGTTTTTTTTGGGGGGGTGGGGTTGGGTGTTTTGGGTTTTTTTCTATCTGAAGAAGTGCAGTAGATCTTGGTGCTGGCACTGGTGGGAGCAGGGGGAATGCTGCAGGGTTTGGATTGACACTGAGGCGGGGTATCGCCCTTTCTCTTTAGATCTGAATGACACTGGGTCCCCCCTGGAAGGGGGATGCTCAGAGCCCTGAACCTACAGCCTGGAAATGCTTGGCTGTCACAGGCAGCCAGCGTGTCGCAGAGAGCAGAAGCCAGGTATCAAGTGAGGGACAAATTGGTGGCGTTAGCAGTGTGCTTCCATGAACTTCTCAGTTCTGCTGCAGCCCCAGAGCAGCTGATTTCCCTAACTGGATTCACCGTTCCTTTCCAACCTGGCTCCTTCCCCGTGCCAGCAGCAGGGCTCCTGAGGCAGGCACACGGGGGTTCCAGCAGGAGGAAGGGGAGCTGAGCGGTGCAGAACCTCAGCCGTAGTTGATGACACTGACTTGCACTGAGCTGCTGGAGCCAAGATCGCAAGTTCTGTGTTAAGGGCGAAAGATGCTGCCAGTGCAGAGGGCTGCTCACGCTCTTGGGGGGGGGTCTTTCTCGTGCTTAGAAAAGGCAGAAGAAGGGTGATTTTTAAGTACTGGTGCTGTACAAGTGAAAGTGAGCTCCTCTCCTCATTCGCACCTACAACTTGGAGGCAGATAAAGGTCCATCCAGCTGTGGAAATGGTGGCTGGCAGAAGCGAGCAATTGTGTTTCATCCAGCGTTTTTAGAGCCCCAGCACCTATCTGAGCCAGCATTGGGCCCCTCCTGTAGCCTCCCATATTGCCCGTGGGGTGCAGTCAGTGGCACGGGCCATGGAGGAAGCCAGCAGAGCGCATCTTCTTCCTAGCCTGTCCTTTGTGGTAAGCCCCCTGCTCCTGAAGGAGATGTCTGCCTTCCATCAAGGCACAAATTGAGCTTCGAACCACCCAAAAGAGGTTGGGGGGAGCCAGGCTGCCCCTTCCCTGCACAGCATAGGTCTCTGCAGAGCCAGCATCACCTCCTGCACGGAGCAGCCTGGCAGTGGAGCTTGGGAAAGCTGGTGAGAAAGCAAGACTCATGCAGGCATGGGCGCCCCTCGGTGCCCAGGGAGGTTCCCAGGGGGACATGAGCTGGAAATTCGTCACCTGGTTGTTATAAACTCAGAGCCAATGTGAGTTTAAAGATTTTATTCAGTGGGAAAAAAAACCAAAAGCAAGCAGTGCTGGGTGCGCCAGGGAGTCACCGCTCCACCAACAACGCACACCCCGGCTTGGAGGTCGAGTCCTTTTATGCTTGATGTGTTGGCATTTCCCGTCAGTCCCCTCCTATTTTTGATTCTGGTGTTTTACGTGGTCCCGTCCTTTATGCGCAGGCATCAGTTTGTTGCTAAAGGGGTCGATGGCCCTCTTGAGGGGGTCACAGGTGTGAAGGCCTTTCGTCTTCCTCCGTGTCCGTTGGTTGACCCTGACTTCTGCGCATGCGTTTTATGTAAGCCTTGCTTAACATCTGTTATAGCTCAACCATAAATTACTCCTCATTGTTCCGTGCCTTATTAGGAGTTAAATTCTTTATTCCTTTTCTGAGTCATCA